GTCGCGGCAAACATCACTCGCCGAGGTAACCTGCTTGAGGACACAAACAGTGCATGTCTAACAGCGTGATTCGTGGAAGTCGATCACTTGTTCCAGTTGGCGAACGCGATTACCCAAAACTCTACGCCCAACCTCAGCGTTGCATAACCAATTCTGGAGCAACACTGCGTAGACGGTCCATCTTTATTCTCTTCTCTTGGTGGATAAGTCTCCGTACCAGCTCTGATCGAACTGCTGCAGCGTACACTTGACCCTTTACAGACAGTCGGATGTCGCGACGGCGCCACAGACTAGTGCTCTTGTCGACTTGGTCATTAGGCACAATGATTAGCCATAGGTTGCTCCTTTCAATCCAACTTACATAGATCGATGAGTAGGGAGCAGTTTGCTCGTCATAGATTCAACCTACATTGAATCAGTTCTACCTGTCCCCGCTTCACTTTAAAAAGATGATTGAAATGTCTAAACAGTTTCAATCACAAAGTCAAAATGGCAACAAATATCTCACAGAAGCTCCGCATCAGCTTCAGTTGCGATTGATGGGAAAATCATCCGTGTCACCTATTTGCCCTAGCAGCAAACGGATTTTACAGACGCTATCCAGTATCGTGTTAGTTTAATTGCATCCCAATACATATTCTCAAATTTTGGACAAGATAAGACAATTGAGAGAGATATATCACGGGATCACTGGGCTTATTAGGTTGTGGAATGTCACAACACCGGCACGGACTAGGAGACCTGCTCACATAAGTCGCGTTAGGCTTCCGGGATGATTCAATGGTTGGGTTGATATGACTGAGTTTCCTAGACAGTAGTGCTCGTAAATGGTCTCAGTTTCTTTGCAAACGTAGTGTAATGGCATTCTCCAATCTCTCTTAGACTTTCCACTTTTCAATCTATCCGGTGTTCTTCATCAGACTGTGGGTATTTTTGACAAATTGGGTTGATTGTTTGAAAATAAGATCACAAATCCTATGAGATAAATTGTTCTTCAGAAGTTACATATAAACCATTTAGTGAAATTAAATCGACCTGATTAATCGTAACATAAAAATTATGTTTTGTTTTGTTTTGTAACTACAATCCACTACAGTCACACATACATATCGCAAGGAGAAATGTGTATCCAGAATACTCACAATGGTCCACGGTCTTTTGCGATGCGAAAAGGATAGTGATATATAGTTTTTTTTTAGTAGTAATGTATACCTTAACAATCTGAATAGAAGACACCGATTTGCCTGTCAGACTGGACCGGGGACAGACACAAACGCAACAGCAACTCGGGGGCCGGGTGAGGTTGGGGGCGCGTGTTTGTGACGAGGTGTTTACGTTTCCCTGCCTGCTCGAACTTGCCTAGACGCAGATAATGATTATGATGATGATGATGATGATGAATAGCCTAGGTTTTAGCCAATGTTTGATAGAATAGTTAGTTAGTTTACGGCATGTAAAACTATGCAAGAGAAATGCATCACACCCGTCCGTCTGCCAACACAATTCTACCCCTTCCCATATAGCTACCATCTTACTTCGCGCCGAACTATGCACACACACACGTACGCACGCACGCACACGCACCTAATCACATTCACACATTAGAGGAATCCACACATTAGACCCCGATTGACGATTGGCATTGGGACAACAGATCCTACGGTGTCTTCCAATTAGAAACGAATACTACCACGACCACAACGACCATCACCAACACCACCACCACCACCACTGTCCTTCCGTCCCCTTCCCCCGAGACATCGCGAACTGAAATGGTGTCAACTGCTTCGGTTGCATCCTGTTTGACCTCTGGGGCATCTCCTACTGGCATCAAAACCACCACCACACCCTACCCCACTCACCGAGGTGCATATTCAGCCACTTTACACTCGTAATTTTTCTTAGTCCACCCCCAATCAGATTTATGCCGACTAATATACATGAAGAGATATTCAAACATGTTCCAATTTATATCCACGACATAGTCAAAGATACTGTATTCATATGGCAATGGAGAAATTCATGTGTTGACTCGTTTTTTTTGCGGTTGGTGTGGTTTATCATGTTAACGAGGGGGTTCAGGTTGAGGTGATGACCGGGGTGGGACGGAGTGCGGTGCAGTGCGGTACAATGGAGCACAGTTGGATGAGAGAGAGAGTGACAGTGTGATGTTGGGCACCGTTTACATGGTAGGATTATGTCTATGGTAAGATGATAAACAAGGACACTATCGTTTGGTTGCTGTTCAACCGGTGCCCAAGCCTAAACATATTAAAACAATACACGGTTTGGATGTTCAAGTGTGTGATGTATGTCCTAAATACAGAGTTTCAAAGCATAAAACGGATTGAGAAACGTGAGGAATGAGCAATAATGATCCGGTGAAATGAGCATAACCATTCGATACTTTCGTCGGGGTTGAACAGGCGAATGTATGATGGATGAATCGTAGTCATTCCCGAATGAACGCATTGAAACTTCTCATGTGTACTTTCTGTAGATCAGACAGCGATCGTCCCTTGTTTTTGTGAACCGGTAGATGATATTGGAACAGTCTGAGTTAGGATGCACATAACATTGTTTGTTTTCGGTAGATCAGTTCAATTTCATTGCCAGTGAAATATTGGAGGGTGTTCTAATTATTTTGCAAATTGGTGGCATCTGAAGAATAAATACTCGACTCGGTGTATTTTGACCATATCGATTGCTAAACCAAAACACCTTTAGCACCTATCTGACATTTTCTTGAATTTGAAAGATCTCGTAGACTGTGTCACTGCGTAATCAGTTCTACTCTTCAGTTGTCAGGCGTGCAGAAGATATCTTTCAACTGGGAGCTTTCAACCGTTGATGTTTGGGTAATCGAGAATAATGAGGTGCACCGCAGTGACACCGAATTAAGAGGAGTTGACCCCTTCCCCCCTTTTCTGTGGTTGGAACACGTATTGCGCATATCCAACAGCCATCTACCGCCCGACAGTCAGCGGATGATGTTGAGATGATATACAAATAGATTTGGTAGAGCATTTGACTTCCATTTTCCAGGTTTGTGTGGACGGTCTCTGTAACTTGTTGGTTGGAGATACTGAAGGACAAAGCAGCGAACCTGCATAAGTAGCTTTCTCGTTTTCATTTATCATCAACCCGGACTGCTTGAAGATGTGCGCATGTACTGTGTGCCCTGTTCGTTAACCGTATTGATTCACTTTGTTGGCCATCTTTTAATTCAGACCGACTTTCTAGCCACCTTACGCATTCTAGCTTACTGTATTTATGTTTTGAGCTTTACAGTGGTTAACAAAGTTTTCTTCCACTGTACTTTGTTGTAGGATGGTGGTGCTGATGAATGCCATTTATAACTTTGCGTATAGATCTTTTATTCAATTGCTTTTTAGCTGTTTCAAACTCAATATTTTAGCAAGTCTATTCCCTATGCGTCTTATACATTTCTGTTAGTTTTATATACGTTGAAAGGCTGGCAGAAACCAGCGGAGAAATGATGATTAGTAATAAATTAGTTCCTTTTTGTAGAACAACGATTCACCCAAGAGAGCGTATTCACGTCTGTTTAGTCACAGAGTTGATTAATTTGGAGCTTAATCCATATTGAAGCATTTCTTTTTTATTTGCTTAGAATTGTTGGTGAATCAGACTGCCGCACACCTCTGGTCGGTCTGCTCAGTATGGGTGCTGATCCAACTCCGTTTATCGAACAAGCTGCTCGTCGAGCGAAACTGGAACTGAACGCGGTCTCTATGGGTCAAGGTCAAGAAGTCCACGCACGTCGTCTGGTTAAACAGGCTATGACTGAAGGTCATTGGGTCCTACTGCAAAATTGTCATCTGTGCTTGAGCTATGTAGATGAATTGTTCTTATTACTTTCTGGAGAAACGGCCGC